AAGTATCTTTCAATTCCTGAAAACCCTTCCTGCAGTCAGGCTCAGCTCTCTCTTAGAAAGGGGCTCAGGATTGGACAGACAGCCTCTTTTCCTTCCTGGACTGAACTCCTTTGTCCTTGTGAACAGTAAATATCCTGAAGCGCAAGTCCAGGTCTGAGGTGAAGCCTTTCCACATGATGTTCCTTGAGCAGCCCCAGTGCTGAGCTGCACCAGTGCCTCAGCTGCAGGACAAACTCACCCAGCTCATTGTGCCACAGGAGCCCGCAGCCACACGCTTGACACTGGGGATTCAGCCTGGACTGCAGCCAGAGCAGCACCTTTCGAGTGGCTTCCCATCCTTTCTCTTCTAATGCTAACACCATCAGATCTCTAGGCACATGCATACATTCCTTCCACTAGTCAGGAACTAATCAGGATTATTCCACAAATCAAAAAATTTAAAAAAAACCAAAAAACAACACAAACCAAAAAACCTCCCCCCCCCCAAAAAAAACAACCAAAAAACCGAAGCAGCATAAGGCAGGTGGTCCATTGCCTTCCTTTTACAAAACAGCATTCTTTGCAAAATGGTATTTGTAATTTGCAGTCCCATTAACTGGTCACTTTTCACAACCATTAAGTTTATGTATTGGCCACCAATGATTACAATATTCAACAAGTTGTTTTTGTGCCAGGGGTTCATCCTTCCCAAACCCCCAACCTTTTCCAGTTCCTTAGGATACAGCCCAAAGGGGAACCTTTTGGGGGGAACCTTCATAGCTCTCATGGGAGCTATGAAGATAGCCCCACTCCCATACTTACCATCTTAAGAAAAAACTTTTAAACACCTTTAAAACCTTTTACAAGCTTTCTATAACTTCTTACAATCTTTTACAACTTTTTAGAACCTTTCCCAAAAACCTCTGAGCCTCACACTGCAAACTTTCTATTAGTGAAACTTATGGGCAGGAAAAATACCTTCAAATAAATTACCTTAAGTAATGTTGTATTCTTTTTCCCAGAAAGGGTAGAGTGATCTACTCACCAGAGCAGGAAACAGGAAATTCTCCCTGAAAGTATTTTGGTGTGCACTGGAGTGCTAATGATTCCTCTGGTCCACTGAGCTGGCACCTCTTTGTCCCATCTGGGGTACCAGAAACTGGGCACCAAAAGCTGGGAAATAAACTCTTTAACCAATTTGTTAGAGTAGAAAGTCAACATAACTTTATTCAGTGTTCGGGTACATGGGGATATCTCCACAGAACATGCCAGTTATCAAACCTTTAATGATTTATACATTTGAGCAAACAAAGAAATTAGTGTTCATTGGCTTACAAGCTACAGAGTTCTTTTCATTAAGTATTCTATCACCTATTGTTATTTATTTATTGCTTCTAATGCAAATTAATCCACATTTTTAGTCTTTTTATTATTTATTTCTTTTTCCCAGATAAAGAGAATCTCAGTAATTGTCTTTGTTAGTTTCTCCCTCATCTCCAGTTTCTGTATGTGTCTTTGATTATAAATTCTGCATTCCTTGTGTCCAGGTCTCAACAACAAATTTCTCTCTCTGGTCAAAGAGCATTGAAGCACGTCAGTCCCTAAATTTGTAATTTGTTTTTCTAACACATGGGCATCACCCATAGCTTGCCTGTCATCTGTTACTCAATTCATGGATTAAATCTCCTTAAAGCAATTCCCTCCCCACACTGCTGCACAGGCTCATTTTAAAAGAAATATTAACTTGTTTGGTAACAGTGCCACCCTTAGGTTCCCCTAAAACACAGAGTACTTGAGAAAAACCGGTTTTCAGAAACATCCCACTGGCCCCACTGTTGCTGTCGCTCCTTTGTTTTCACAGGAACAATGATGCTCCTCCCCAACAGGCCACTCCCAGTCACTGGCTGGAACAAATGGATCTCAAACTCTTCTTTGCGTGTCTGGGCTGTTGTCCTTTGCTGCTGCATTTGATCATGCAGCAACTGTGATCATGCCCCTTAATCTCCTCAGAACATCATTTGTATACCTTTAAGCAACTTCAGCTGAAGCTGGACCATACAAGAAGTATGGTAAGAAAGAGCATCTTTTTTTATTAAAAATAATTTAAGAAATTGTAGAAAATAGAGCAGCAAGACAGCAGCCCAGCATGGACAATACAGAGTGCTTTCCTAGAGGAAAGGAAAACATTTACACAATTAGACATTGTTTACTGGGAGTGACTAACCCTGTGCCCTCATCCAAGACCAATGTGCCCATACTGGCTCTGAAGGTGCTACAGATCCAGTGCCAAGAGAAACTGGTGACCAGTCATGAGGGATACAGCAGGGACACCAGGCAAGGACTGTGCCATGGGTGGCAAGCAAGCAAATCAGAAGCATGAGTACCCTCAGGTATGCCATCTGTGATTTAATCACCATTCAGACCACAAAGCACAAATTTTCTGACAAAAGAGACTTTGATATGCAGAGTCCATAGTTAAGATTCTAAAAAAATTTAAAAAAAAATTAAAAAACAGTCTGTAGAGGCATAAATTACCCAGGGGGAGGTAATAATGAAATAAATATGCAAGGGAGTCCAGAGTTATAATTAGGAGGACTGTATAGTACGGCACAGGCTGCAAACCCTGCCCCCAGGTTCTGTGCAAATATTTTTGTCTCCTGCTCCTATGGCTGCAGCATTGGCAACACTTGGGAAATCCCTTGTAGAATGTACCCACATGACCTGCAGACACAGCAGTACAGTACGTGCTCAGAGCTGTGCTGATACTCTAAGTTAAGAAAAAATATATTGTTTTGACAGTCCTTGAAGGAGCACTTTGTGCTGGCAGTCCAGGGGAGGAAAATTAGCCAACACCATTTCCAGTTCCTCCCTCTGGCAAACGAATCCAGAACGTGGGGTTTGTCACATGCCCATGGGCTGACATTTTAACAACCCTAAGTCAGATGTTTAGGTGTTTGTCACTGCTTCTGCATGTATCATCTTCCTGCCTGCTTTGCCAGTGACGTTATTGTTATTATTGAGGCTGAAGGAGAGAGCTGGGAATTCAGTGCCTGACAAAGTGGGGAAGCAGGAGGAGCGAGTCTTGGGGCTGCACATCCAGGGCTGCACATCAGGGCAGGGAGAGACTTCAGTGAGGAGAAGTCACCCAGCAATCTGCTCACAGGACCATGTCTTTGCATCAGAACAGGAAAAAAAACTGAAAAAAAAACTTCTCTCTGGTTTGTCATGAGAAACTAAAACCAGGTGTTACCTTAGCTGCCTTGGGAGCAGTCCTGGGGATAAAAAGAGCAATTCACAGGAAAAGAGGAGTTCGAGATCAGTCTGTTTAAATTGCCAGAATATGTTGGTGGCTTAGGTGAAACAGGATAGAAAACTTTCTCTCTTTTGTGCTTGAGGAAGAGGCATCACTACAGACCTTCAGTACACCTCAGCAGCTGCTGTGCTGCAGGCAGTTAGGAAGCAAGGAGGCCAACCACAGGCCTTATATAAAAGTTTAATGCCATGAAACCAGAATTTTCCTTGGATCTAAACCCTGGGGTTCCTTCAATCCAAGCTATTTGCTATGGGACTGCAAATAGTTCCTTCTGACTTCCTTCTGACTCACCCCTCTGATCTCCTCTGACCTGGCAACCATGGGAGAATGTTTACATGTCCTAGGACAGACAGAAACGTGTTGATGGTGCTTCCTGTACAAACCTGAGGCACACAAATAGTGAGGGCTGGGACACACTGGCTGGTGGCATTCCCGTTGAGAGCTGCTTGATCCTTAGGAGATTTGGGCATGCACCTGCTGGAACTGACCATTAGCAGGAGGTCACACTACCCCGTACTAAATAAAAGTATTTGGTATAAAAAAGGTACCAGTAATAAAAGCTTAGAATGTAAAGGACCTGCCAGAGTTTATTGCAGACACACTTCAGCCATCCAAAAGTAGGTGTCATGATTCGGGTGAGAAAAATCACACCCCAACACACCTTTTTCTACCCCTGTTCATCCTCAGGCAAGACACTGGGTTGAATTAGGAAATCTGTGTCTTTTACCTCTGCCTTTGGTGTGGCCATGGAGAATCACCTGGCTGTTCCACTCATATTCTGCTACAACTAAAACACCTGCACAGATAGAAGATCAGCCTTGGCAAAATTCTGCTTCCTGTAGGTAAAGGATGCAAAGAAGAAGTAATTTAACACAATCCAACTCATTGTCCCTAGGGTACCAGCAATTGATTTTTATCCTGATTTCAGCATGCTGAGCCATTCATTAATACCTGCTCTTCTGCTGATCAGTGAATAATTGTGAGTGATCTACTCCTAGGGGAAAAAACCCCGGATATTTTACACATAAAAACAATACGTGCCAGCTGAGTAACTGGGCCGAAATTGGCTCGTTGTTTGCAACACACATCTGGTGTGACACATCACATGGCACGCTTTCTGCCACCGACATGCCACTAACAAGGCAACAGCCCCGATCCAGCAGCCACGGGGACGAGAACAAGCAATTATTTTTGTGTGTGCGTGTCACACCTCGCAGCCGCGGAGAGCGCAGGTGACATTCACTCGGACTAGCGGGGGCATTCGGGCCTCGCCCGGGGAGCCCCGACCCCCAGGGCGGGTGCGGTGCCCCGGTACGGCTGGGGCCGTGTTCATAACCCTGAGTCACGCTGCGGAGGGCGGGCGGCGCTCTGCTGCCTTTAAGCTAAAAAAAAATTTAGTTTTTAAATATTTATTAGTTTGTTTGTTTGTTTACGCATTGCCGGGCAATAAATCTCTGCCCGAACGGGACGGGCCCTCCCCTGTCCCCTCACCTCTCCCCATCCCGGGCACCGCGGCGCCTCCCCATGACGTCAGAGCGCGGCTCGGCTCGGGGGGCATCTCCCCGTGACGTCACGGCTCGGCTCGGCGGCGGGGCCCCTCCGCGTGACGTCACCCCGCGAGGGGTCGGGGCGGTGCCTGTCCGTGACGTCAGAGCGGCGCTGTGTCGGGCGGCTCCGCGCGGGGTGGGAGCGGCCGGAGCGCGGCGGGCCGCGGGGCCGGGCGGAGCTCTGTGCGCAGCGCGGCCGGGGCGGAGGCAGCGCCACAGCAGCAACCGCAGCCGCACCCGCGAGCGGAGGGACAGCCCGGCGCCATGAAGTTCCAGTATAAGGAAGACCACCCGTTCGAGTACAGGAAAAAAGAAGGGGAGAAGATCCGGAAGAAATACCCCGACAGAGTCCCCGTGAGTGCGCGCTGCCAGGGCGGCCATGGCTGCGAGCCCGGGCTCGGCCGCCTTTGTTTTCCGTGCTGGCCGTCGGCTGCTGCTCGCCTTCTTTTGAAGGCGAAAGAAATGAGTTTAGTGCAGATGATGGTGATCTCGCTGCTCTGATTCAAATCCCCGGCTGCTTTTCTCCTTAGTGCGAAGCTGGGGCTATTTATGATGCGCGAAGGGCTGCAGTGTGGGTGGGGGGTGGAATACACCTTTTCCCCTGGGATCCGCAGTAACTCCAGTGGGAACGCTGCTGATCTTTTTCTGGCATGCGTGGGGGTGAGTGGGGAAGGAGCTCACCCTTGTTTCTGTGAAAATGGAGATCCGTGAGTGGGCTAACCGGGTACTCTTCATACTAAACATGGTCTGCATCCGGGTCATCTCATACGTCCCTGTTATTTTTATTTTTACTTCAGTTTGGCATGTCTTTTCGATATAGCCTTGCTCTTTTCCTTTGCATGAGCAAAAACATGATACTTCTCAACCCTTTCGCCCTCCTGTTTAATCATTCTGTGGAGAAAATGTCACTTGGAATGCAAGGTCATCTAGCTAAATTTTGCTTCCTCATTCTTAGGCCCCTTTGGAGTGCCTGTGGGAAACTTCTGGCTTCGTAATTCCGAATAATTATTGGGATGAAAACAAAAAGAAATGACAAATCTAATTAAGTGTAGAGTGTTTTTTCCTTTTTAATAAATATTTTGCAAGTATTCTTATTTCCTATCCCCACTGGAGAGGTCTGCCCTAGATTTACTGCACAGGTGTACTGCATTTAAAAAACTGGGATCGCCCTGTAAAACTAATGACAGTTACACTCCATGTTTTCCCTGCAGGCTAACAGCATGTTTTATCTTGGGAGGGACCCTCAAATAGACTTGAAAAAGTGTTTGGAAGTCAGTATTTGGGTGTCTTTGTTCTCTCTGTTTTTGGGAGGCCTGGCATAGCATAGGTTGAGCATGCCGCTTGAAGTGTGTGGGGTTGGGCATTTGTGATGAGGGCTCTGTAGGTCGGCCGAGAGAGAAGGTGTAAATTGAGGATTAACGTGGCAGATTGCACAGCAGGCCATGACAAATGTGTCAGGAAGAACCCTGTGGGGAGCCCAGGACAAGGCCCAGTCTGGGAGGAGATAAAGGAGGTCAAGATAGGGGGGGGCATCAGCAGAACTTTGTGAAGAAAACTAGGACCAGAATAACAGAGTGTGCTGGAGCAAAGGATCATTGGAATGGTGCATGGCAAGGCCCAGATGTGAATTATTAGGGATAGCCTCTTGACAGAGCTGCATACAAAGAAATGAATGCAGCACTCTGTTCTTCACATCACTTCTGTGTCTGCCCTTCCTGACAGCAGGATCCTTGAAGATGTCATCCTTTTGGCTGCCTACACTGCAGTACCGTGATACATCTCAGCATTTTGATGAGATTTCACTGCCCTGCATTGTCACAGTCGCCACTCAGCAACAGCTCAAATGTAGATAGTCTGTATTCTGCCCTTAGGATTTTCCTAGAAGGCTTTTTTAGGTATGTGAAGGGTTTAGTGCTTCAGAAGAGACAACCTGCATTATCCAGCAAACTGACTGCAGTTGCCAGTCAGATTAGCAGAGCACCTCCATTCCTTCTGTGCAACTTTGCAGGAAGGAGATGTTTCTTAATATCTCTTAAATCAGTGGTCATCTGATTTAAATCTTTCCTAGGGGATTATAAGCCCCAACACTCACCTTGTTCTCATAGGCATGACTCCTTTTCCTTTATTATCTAATGATCAATCTACAAGCCCCCTCCTTCCCCCCCACCTCCAGTTAGGGTAGTCACAGCAAGCAGTTTGGCTTGTCAGTAGGACTTTTTAATTGAGGCAAGAACTAAAGGTTTCTCCCCACTGCAGTTTACTGTGTTAGATACTGCTTTGTTTGGCTGTGCTGGTAAAAAGTGTGAGAAGTGCTGTTGCTGTTCAGTGAGATTGTGGTACTGTCCTTCCCTCACAGCATTTACCAGCTGCATCTTGTACAGAAATGCATGTCCTACCTCAAACTGCCTGAAGGAGCTTGAGTGTCTTGTGCTAACTCAGGTACTTGAAAATCTTGAAGTAGCTGAGGCAACCATGTTTCTATTTTAAAATCAAACCTGGAAATTTCAGGGTATTTGGCTGTGCTGGCCACATTGAAATGGAGCACAGGGAAAATGTGTCCTACTTGGTACCTCTCTGGTGTGAGATATTTTGCAGACACTCACTTGGCTCTAGAAGGATTCAGGTTAGCACAGCACCATGTCCAGGCTAAAATACTCACAATAACATTTTGTTCTGGTGTGGTGTCTCACTGGTGGGGCAACATCGTTTTGCTTCCAAAGAAGGCTTAGTCCACAGCAGTTCAACCTTTTCTGTTACACAACAGCTGTATTTGCTAATTGGGGTTGCCAAAGAACAATGGGAGCATGGAACCCTTAGAAATTAGTCCCACGGTGTTTCAGGTGGAGTATTTACTAGTATAGGGCCTAAGGGAATTAAAAAGTTTAGAAAGTTCAGAAAATCCAGGTTTAGATTTAGTGTGGGTGGTCAGAATGGCTTCTGCAGAACAGCAAGCCACATAAATTGAAACGTGATGGATCTTTTACCAGTTCAAAAATACATATCACAAAAAAACCTGCATTTTTTTTCTGCACAAACACAGTAGTTCCAAAGGTTTCAATGGAAAAGGAGATCAGGTCACTTTGGAATAATTCCTGTTTCTGAGGTAAATATTTTGCCTAGCTCTGCTAACAAAAATTATGTTTTAGCAAAAGACCTCTTGGTCTGTTTGATCTTAAAGCTGCTGTGCTTTGTATATTTCTGTGTTGGAAGGAAACTGGTATTTTTGTCAAGAGATCTCAATGGGTCCAGTTGCCCAGATGGTAGGCTGGTTTTAATTATTGTATGTTTACTTGACTAAGGAAATTTCCATAGCTATGTGAAATATGGATAATAAACTTAAAGGATATGAATTTCAGAGTAGATGATAACTTCTGAAGAACTGGAGATTAAAAAAAAAATCCCCAAGGAGCTGTAGTTTCTCTTTAATTCTTTGCTTCATTCTAGAGCACTTGGTGTTGGTGAAAGTAGAAATTAGGATGTGGGACTACTGGGAGTAGGGCTGATTTTGTGCAAGGCAGTTTGGAACTGTAACCTGGAAACAGTTTAACTTACTTGTGTTTGTGTATTAGCCTCCTGACAGCTTCTTCACACAAAATTAACCTGAATTGGGAACATCAAGGTGTCCTAATTATTTTTTTTCCTCAGCCATTATGGTTTATTTTTATGTCTGTTCTGGACTCTTTTTTTCACTCACCATGCTCACTACTGCAGGCCTGGGTTCCTAGCACAGCTATTGGGAGTGATTTTAGGTTGTCTCCTGTTCCTCTTCTTTGAGTCATTTCACCTGTGTGTTCTTTAATGTTGTGTATTTGTTACAGATTACCTAAAGGCCTGGTATGAGATGGTAATATCCACTGATGCTTTTTGGACCATTTTGGTTTATGATACTCATCATCCGTTTCTTACATTCTCTCTCTCTCTTTCCAGGTAATTGTGGAAAAAGCACCCAAAGCCAGAGTACCTGACTTAGACAAAAGAAAGTATCTCGTGCCTTCTGACCTCACAGGTAACAATGCCTACCTCCTTTCTTCCTGATTTTCAGTGAGAGGGTACACAGTACTCTTGTTCTGAGGGTATTGTGTTTCCCATCATTTCCATCAGTATTAGAAGGGCTTACTCTGAGGGCTGGGAACTCCTCAGCAGTGAGACATGAAGGTTGGGGAAAGGAAGGAAAAGAAGCACAAAGAAAATATCCAGACAGGCTCAACATCTCATTTATCTGCTGTCCTTGTTATAGTTACACGTTATAGCCTGGATTACAACATGCAGAATTCTCTGAGATCTTTTGAGGTATCTCACTGGCTTAGCTAGCGTGTCATAGCTGAGTTCTAACCATGACAACAGTGACTAACTAAATTGTGTATCATGGGCAATGTCATGGCCAGTCAATGATGACCTAGCTGCAGAGTTGCCAGAGGCTGTACTCTTGTTGCAGGAAGAGACAAGTTCTTGCAATAGTCCCATCCTTTTTCCACCGCTGTAGTCATAGCTACAGAATTCTTTTTTCTGAATGGTCATGGTGATCTTGAGTGTGATTACATCTGTTTTTGTTTAAGAACATGCAGAAGAACAAGAACATGAGTTAAAGGAACAGCATTTCTTCTTCTTGCAGTATTTAATGGACTGTGAAAAAAACTTTCTTGTGCAATATAGTTCAAGTAAATAATAAGGATTTTTTTTTTCCAGGAATGATATAACCATTTACACCAAGGCTAAATTCTCTAAGGTGTCTTTGATCTGTAGGATGTAAAGGTTAAGCTAGTTAAAGGTCTTCTCACCAATTCCCCTCAGTAGAGCATTTCATACCATAGTAGGTGGAGTGTGGCATAGTAGATGGAGAGGGGACGTGGCATGGGATGTGTACCTGAGAAACTACCAGCTCTGAGTGGATTGGCTGCTCATGTGATTACAGTCATGAAGTTACTGCTTTCTTCTCTTGCTTTTTTCCTGCATTGTTCATGTTCCCCTACTTTTTATGTACAAGCATGTGACTTCCACCATCAAAAGAAAACAGTCATGGTTAGGGTTAAAATACAGAAATAAACAGCAACAACAACAAAAAAACCCCCTCCAACATTCCTTCTGCATCTAAAGGCATTCTTTGTTCCTCTTCAGTTGGTCAATTCTACTTCTTAATCCGAAAGCGGATCCACCTGAGGCCGGAAGATGCTTTGTTCTTCTTCGTCAATAACACCATCCCTCCCACCAGTGCTACCATGGGCCAGCTGTATGAGGTAAGCCTGGCCCTTTTCTCTTGCCTTTCATTGGCAGGAGCAATGTCCAGAAGTGTCAGTGGTTTCAGCTTGGTGACAGATGCCTGAACACGGGCACTCTCTTGCCCTGAGCTGTATCCCATCACCTGGTCAGGGGAGTTCCATCCCCCACTTAGGAGCCTGGGGAGCCTTATCAATTCAGCTGGTTGTTTGCTGTTGAAAGGGCTGTGGCAAATACTTGCCCCAGCAATGATCTATTGCTCCTACTACTTTAACAAAGTATTGAAATAAACCACTTCCTTTTCACAGGTTGGGGCTGGGGAGGGTGGCGAACATAGGTTTTGCTGTGTATACAAAAGAGATTTCCTTTTAGCCAGTAAAAGTAAGTAAAAAGCCAGTAAAAGGGCCAGTATCACTGGACATCCATCTGTCTATGAATACTTTCTTGAGGAATACTTATTCTTTGTCTAGAATTACTTTTTCCTCGCTTGTACTGTGTAAGTGAGGATTACATAGGATGCTGCGAGCATTGCTGCCCACTATTTCTACTCAGCAGTGTTATTTGATCAATCTTAAAGGCATGTTGGATGCCCATATTTCTCAGCTCTATAGCCATTATATCATGGGTGGCTTGCAGCCTGGATTGATTTCTCCTTGATTTCTCCTTCTGCTGGGTGTTTTAATAAAAGAGCTCTGGCGTGGTGCTGTGAGCCTTGTTTGGCCTGTCACTTTTTGACAGTAACTGGATACTTCATCAGTCTGTGTACTGATGAAGATAATAAAAGATAACACAGGCAGGGTGCTTTTCAAATCTGAACATGTCAAAGGAAAGTGTCTGACAGTGCAGAGCTGAGGTCAGATCTCTGTTGCTGGCACTCCACAGAACTTTTGTGTCAGTGTAATCACTTAACATATCAGCTCTACTGCTCGTATGTAAAACAGGACTTAGAAATACAGTCACTTGTCAGAGTGTTCTGAAAAATTAAAAATACCATCTAGAGGTGACTTTTGACTTGTTAAATCCTTCCAATTCTCTCTCAGTCTTAAGACCACACCACTGCTGACATACTGGTGAACAGTCAGAGCTGTTTCTGTTGCATGCTTGCAACACAGCCTGGCTGTGGCTCTTCAAGTAAATTCCCTGTGTACAGAAATGTGTCCTGCCTGTGGGTAGAAGCAGAGCTGTGGCCAGAGTTCTCTTTGGTCTTGGGAAGCAAAGCCTTCAATGTAAATGGAGAAGAGCAGTGAAAGAGAAGTTACTTGCTCATGTTACAATGATCTCTGGGTTGAGTTTTCTCACATGCAGTGAGTTCCCAGCTTTGGCTCCTCACTTTGTCCCTTTGTCCCTGGCAGGATAACCACGAGGAGGACTATTTTCTCTATGTGGCCTACAGCGACGAGAGCGTCTATGGCAAGTGAGCAGCAGCCCCCCCAGGCATGCAGGCTGGATGGACTGATGGAATGGATTGGTGGGGAGGGGGTTGCTGGAGAGGCAGGAGGAGAATGCATGAGAAGAGAAAAAGAGAACTGGAAGTGAACCACTTGCACAATGTCATCAGCTTCCACGCATTAATTATCACCATTATTTTTTAAATTGAGGGGGAGTCAGGGTAGGGGGACAGGGTGAACTTGAAGACTAAGGAGAGGTTCCACACTGGGGGGTGGGGAAACTCCACTGTTCACAATTCTTCTCTTGCCACAGCTGGAAGTAGTTAGTGCTGGAGGCTGCTAGACAAGCCAGTGTAGTGAAGCTCCAGGAGGGTGACTGGGCAGGATGGCCATTTTCATGTAACCCTTTCATTGGATGAAGAAGGCATGCCACGTATTGTCACTGACCTTGTCCTGTCTTGTCCATGGCCCCCATTCAGTGAGCTGTGAAATACTTCACTCTGCCCACATGAGGCTGTCCTGTGCTGACAGTCCTCCCTCCAGGTACTACCTGTGAATTGTTCTGAGGGTATTGTGTTTCCCATCATTTCCATCAGTATTAGAAGGGCTGGTAGCTCTGTCCATCAGTATTAGAAGGGCTTACTCTGAGGGCTGGGAACTCCTCAGCAGTGAGACATGAAGGTTGGGGAAAGGAAGGAAAAATTCTGCAATTTTTCTTTCCTTTGTTGCTTTAATTGCAACTGCTGGACAGAAAAATGACCCTTTTGTTCTTTTCAGTGTAGTCAACTGATAAACTCGTAAGCACAGGGCTAGAAAGGACCTCAAGAGCCCACACCAGTATCCCAAACATGCCCACCATGGCTGCTCATCAAACTTGTTCTTACTGAACTTCACTGAGGAAGATCCTGGAGGCTGCTGAGATTGTCTGTTCAGTTCCTAGCTAGCCTACAAGTGAGATTGCTTTTCCTGATACCTAACTTTAGCCACCCTTGCTGTGCATTAAGGCAACTAACTACTAGTGGTCTTGTTTTTGGTGAACACAGAAAATTATCTATCAGTGTTGTCCTTGTACCAGTCTTCTGCAGATTTGAAGATGGCAGAGTTCCTGTGGGTTTAACCTTCCCTTCCATGTCTCATCCCTGTACAGCCCTTGCACCACGTGCACAAGCGTAGGAAATCAGTCACTGCCACGTGTGTTCTGCTGGCTTTTTGTGATTGGGTAACAGTGCCTCTCTGTGCCACAGGAGAGGTTCTTTTAGACTTGAAGGGAAAAGGGAATAGATTATCTGTAGATTTTTTTTCTTATTTTCTTTTAAGCCAGTGTTCTTAGGAGGTGTCAGATGCTGTGCAAGCCTTATGCTGTCATGCCAAAGCAGTTTCCTCTCAGTGGCAGGAACAGCAGATTTTCCCATTACTGCCGTAACTATGATAAAGGAATAGGTCTTGGAGAGTGAGCTGACTTTCAGGAAAATTCTGGGGTCTTATCTAAAAATCAGAGGAGTAGGCCTGAATTACTGTAAACATTCCTGCATTTAAAAGAGGGACCAAGAGGGAGGAAAAGAGAAGAAGGATGGAGAATACAGGTGAACTCCAAATTAAGTTGAAGGCATTTGCTCAATTTACTTACTTGTAAAGTTAGATCACCATTCCCTGTGTTCCTCAGGAATGAGAAATCAAGATGGGTGCTCCTCTGAGTGTGGGGAACAGGAAATCAGGTTTCAGTTTCTCTGACTGTTGTTACATGGAGGTGCATGAGGCAGGAGAGCTGATGGGAGTGTCAGGTGGGAGTTACTGGCAGAACTGCGTGAAGGTCAGGGAGGGCAGCGTGGTGGGGTGGGAGGGTTACTGCCTGTGTGGGTGGGAAGTACCAGAAGAATGGGAGAGAAGGGAGGAACCACAGAGGATGCAGAGTAGTCAGAATAGGCAGACAGAAAATGAGGGTGCAGATGATGAAGTGGTTGGCATAATATCCCCAGTATTACATCCTGAACTTCAGGTTTGCTGTTCCATCCTGTGTTCATCTGGAATAAATGTGTTTGGATGAGTTGTACCTACTGCCAACTTGGATAACTGCACTGCCTGCACTGCTCAGTCCTCTCTTTTAGACTCACTCTCCTTCCACTACCAGGCTTTCTTCACATCCTTTGGGTGCAAATCTGCATCAATCTCTTATTTTAGGAAGCTCTGAATATTCTGAAGCAGAGGACAGACCCGGGAGGCTTTCTAGGATAAAAGAGAAGACACAGGCAGATGGTGTGCATCTCTCTGCTGCTGTCCCACTTGTTCATGCCAAGCACATGGTTAAGCACACTCAGGGGAGAAAGAGTTGGCATCTGGAGTGCTTGGTTTTGTGTTCAGTCCTCCCCTCCCGCTGCTGGGTTTAAATGACACGTGGGACTAATCACAACTGTTTGTTAAGTGTAGAGTTTACAATTTAATTTAGTTCTTTTACAGTTCTTTCAACTGAATTGTGGCATTTCTGTTTTTGTGCTAGTATTGTACAAGGTAATGATGGTAATTTTTTTGTGTTGGTTAGCTGCAGGTTCTTGTAAAATAAAGTTCAGACTAGAGCTTAATCAACTTATCAATAAAGATGCATTTGAAAATCACAGATTGGTCCAAAATGGGTGACTAGCATTTCTTCCCGATGTGGGCTTGTAAATGAAGGGATGACTTTGCCAGAACTTTTGCTGCTACTTTTTCCCACAACCCCAGGTTTACTCTCTCCTGGCTACCAGGACAAGTCCCATCTCTCCTATTTTTGGTGGTATTGTCACATACACACCTATCTGTGTCTTGCTATGCCACTAGTGGGACTTTTAATTAGACCTGGATGATGTAAGAAGGTCTTAAGATGCATAATGAATACACTGATGTATTTTCTGCCATTTTAAGGCCTTGATGGGCCAGTGATGGGGCCTCTGGGGCATCACCAGCCCTGCCTGTCCCTGCCAGGCACCTTGGGCCACCTGTCCCGATGCCCATGGCCAGGACTGTTTGTATCTGTCCTGGCACTGTCCCTGTCAGCCCCTCAGGACTGTGGCCAGCTCTCCTGGCACTGTCCCTGTCAGCCCCTAGAATTGTGGCCACCTGTGTTGGTGCTGCTGCAGCAGGGCTGGCCTGCAGCTGCCCTCAGCCCCACACAGCCATGAGCGCCCTGAGGCCCTGCCTTCAGCCCTGCACAGCCATGAGCCTGCTGAGACCCTGCCCTCAGCCCTGCACAGCCATGAGCGCCCTGAGGCCGTGCCCTCAGCCCTGCACAGCCATGAGCACCCTGAGGCCGTGCCCTCAGCCCTGCACAGCCATGAGCGCCCTGAGGCTGTGCCCTCAGCCCTGCACAGCCATGAGCACCCTGAGGCCGTGCCCTCAGCCCTGCACAGCCATGAGCACCCTGAGGCCGTACCTTTGCCAGGCCCTGGCAGGCAGGTGGGATTCCTGCCTCATCACCAATGGATGGGGCTGGTCACCACCTCTGGCTGTGCTCCACTGCCTCTGGTGGGTGCAGTAGGATAAGTCCCATGTGCTGTGCCAGCCAAGTCCCTCATGGAGCCAGGCGTCCATCTTGTGTCACCACAGCCCAGGAGGCTGAGGTGGAACTTGCCATGGGAAGAAGTGAGGGAGGCCCAGGGTGCCTGCTATGCATCCTCTAAACGTAGGAGAGCAAAGATAAGGAAATCTGGGATTCCTTGAAAAAGAACCCTGCAGTAGTGACAAATGAGGTTGCTTTTCCTTGCGGATATCTGTGCATGAGGGGGAAGGAGTCCTGCTGGGAGCTGGCAAAACCAGCGGGTGCCATTTGTTCAGCACCATGACTCCAAGCCAGGCTCTGGCAGTGCGTGAAGAGAAAAGGGATGCATGCTGTCATCTGGAGAAGCAGTGACAGACGTGCCACTTCCTACCCCTCCCTCCCTTCTTCCATGTCACCTGTGGTTTGTGTGGATCCCTCTGGTTGAGGGGGCAGGAATGGGCCATGGCGATGCTCCAGGGGCACCATTGGCTCCAGCCCTGTGCATTGAGCGAGGGAGTTGCTTGGAGTGATAAAGTCAAGAATTACAACACTGAAATCCACAGGCATAAAACTTGCTATGCTTAATAGGACCTTCTCTTCCTGCTGCATACAGAGGGGAGCCACTGTGAGAGCTTCTGTTGCTGCTACTGAGGGAGAGAGTAATTCATCCTGCATTGGAGCCTACCCACAGCAGCAATTTCTGAGCTCATATCCACCACTGTGACTGAAACAAGCTGCCCCTGTATGGCAGAAGGGTGCTGTGACTACAGCCAGATGGGCACAGATGCAGCTAAAAGCATACGCTATTAGCTGAAATAATTAGAATTTCAGATTCAAATACAGTAAAGATTTTTCTGTGTGGATTGTGGTATTGTCTGCTGGCTCAGGTAGAAAAGTGGTATAAAGTATATCTAAGTAGTCATCTCCCACTCCCTCTCTCACCCCTTTCCAAGGAAAATGGTGCCACAGATGTTTGTACCTGCCATGCTGCTTTGCATGTTTGTATCAGTGCCATTGCTGAGAGGCACTAACACAAAATATGCAGGCCAGTACATTGCTGAATGTAATTTACCTGGTCCAAATGTGGAATATCAGCTTGTGCTCCAAGGCTGTTTTATTTATAACCTTTGTTTTGTGGGTTATAGAAATGATATTAAAGCAAGGCCTGGGGGAAATTATGAGCTCAGCTGGCTTAGAGAGGTTGAATAATTAATACTCTGCCTTGGTCACTATTGCTGCACCTGGGATCCTTTCTCCAGTCATCCTGATGCTTTCCTTTGAAGAAAATATTTTCCTGAAGCAGAGACTAACAAGTTAAGAGATCACTTATTTTGAGGCCTTACAAAATCACCATGAAGGCCATATCTGGACTAATATAAAATGTCCCAAGTTATGCTAGACACTGATGTTTTCATTTCCATAAAACAGTCATGTCTGAGATGAAATAATCACTGATTAAAACAGAAATAAGACTACCAGAGGGAGAAAGTCCAGCTCATTGTTGTCATTCAGTCTCAG